GTAAGCCATATATTTTAAAATAGTAATAACATTTTTCTTTTTTACTACTGTTAACTGTTGCTTCAAGCAGATTTTATGTCCATGTTGCACAGTGAAATAACTGATTAAAAAGATCTCCTAGTTTTAGGTTGAAATATACTATAATATACATAAAGATTTATTGTTCCTTTAGGTTGTTGTTTTAAGCTAAATTTAAGTATTTTCTAAAGTCCTCAACAACTGTTTACATTTTAGAATTAAATGTGCTTTCTGCTTATACTACTGCTGCTGAAGAAATGTACCTAGCGGACCTGTCACTTTTTTGTGTGGTTGTTTCTGTGGCATTATTTTCAGTGGTGAATGTACAATCTGATAGAAAAGGAAATCATTAGGTGCTCTCAGTATTGCTGAGGCATGGAGCTACACCAGGTCAGTCACTGCATTTTGCAGATTTTGACATTTTAAATTACCTGTACACTACTGGAAGCAATCTGTGGACCTAATTAACATCACATCTAATTAATATCAGGACTGCATATAGAGAATTCAAGATAGATTTGCGCTGCCTTTATTTACTAAATACCACATTATTAAAATCTGTTATCTTTAATTTTAGTATGGAAAACTTCAAATTTGTGTGCTGTTTTCTTAAGTGGGAGTAACTTCCCTTTTGTTTTTTTTCTCCTTCAAGTAATCAATGCACTGCTGAATGAGTTCATTTTAATGCACTCAATCATGCCTCTAATGTTTGTAGCTTACGGGCGCAAGCATCAGTAATGCAGGAATGTTATATGGCTTTAGTTTGGTCCATTTCATAAAATATTCATGGAATCAAAAATGTGCATCAAAATAGCGGCTGGGAGAATTACATTTATGTGCCTGCTTTTATGGCAGCTTCACATTTAAACCCATTTGTGTTAATATCTAGTCAATCTTTCTACTTAAAAAAAAAAAAAGGCAAAATAGTAGTCTCCATGCATCCCCCTTTAGGTTTGATATTTATTTTGATATAACAAATGTATACTTTTGGAGGGGGTTTTAGGAAGGGGTATTATAAAGAGAAGGTTTAGATAATGTAAAAATGTTTCTCTTCAGTATTTACAAAATTACACCAAGTTCTTTTGCTTGAATGAATAGATTTATTTTTTTGACTTCTAAGCAACTCAGTGAAAACTGTAGCACAAATCTTTGTGCATACATATGTAGTTGCTATGAAAATAAGAGTAATTTCTAAAATTTGATACTGTTAGTGGCAGAATAATGTCTTGTATTCATATAATTGTTTAAAACTGATTCTTTCCTCCCAAAATTATATTGTGGCTATGTTTACTTCCCCTATTTAAGGTTGAACTATTGCTGATAGGGTTTCTTCTGTTATGCCCTAAGATATATAAGGCTACAACATTTTAATAGTGATAGTATATATGTTGTATATATATAGTATATATGTATATATGTAAGAGGTACATTGTGTTTCATGGTTTGTTGGGATTTTTAAAATTCCTTTTATAAACATGGAAAAGATATCAGAGATTCTCAAACTCCATTTAGTATATGCTGAGTTAATTTCTGTGTGCCAGTGGGAAAAGAAATATACAATTGCTGTTAATGTTGCCAACTGAGAATAGCTATCCTGTTTTGTGTAACACTTTCCAAAAAAATTTTTGAAATATACATTTCTGAGAAACACCTTCTGTGTTTTCCTCTTTGAATTCCTAGAGGTATAAAAGATGCATTTCTACAAACTTTTCCTACTCACTATTTTTCCTGTCATTTTGCTTTTTTTCTTTTCTTTTCCATTGATAAAAAGTCGGTTAAAAGTCTACCTTGTCACTTCTCAAGTGAGGTAAATATAATCTTACTCTCAGAATGTTCCGTAATTCTAACTGAATCGAACTTGCCACCCTTCTGACAATGTTTCTTTTTCTTTCTCCCCACAACATTTGAAGTTCACATAAACATTATGGATTAAAGAAGTAATTTGTCATTTGCCAATGAGAACAAAGGATTTCAGACTATTTTGATGGCAGAATTAAATCCAAACTCTGAAACGTTTTCCCTTCCATGAATTTGAGAGGTCTCCAAATAGCTAGTATAACTTCAAAAGTCTTCAGTAAACAAATTCCCAACCACGTAAGGGCTTTCAGGTCAGGAATTACATCTCTCCTTCATTTAGGAAACTAGCAAGTATTTTGATTTTTTTGCTCGGCTTCTTCTTTTTAGTTTTTCTGTGAGCAGATTGTATTACTTTTTACCTCATAATCTTTCTTGGTAGTTCAGTGAAGTCAAATGCAATTTAGTTACAATTGAATACTACCAAAAAGATGCTTTTGTGTTTTGAAGCTTGATGTAGACGGATTGTTTCTAAAAAGGTTTTACTGAGATCTGGTAAAAAGGATGTCAGGTCACAGCACTTATGGTTAGGTCAACTCTTGAGAACTATGGGGTGTATGGAATATATGAGTTCAATTTCTAGTCTGACAGAAACTTTCTCAAGGGGATACTGCAAGTGAGGATGCATGGGTAAGAATTACTGTACCGAATAGTTCTAACAATCTAAACAATATTTCTGAAGGTTGCATGTATTATTTACCTAAATGGTATGTCCCATTAAGAGATTATATTAGAGAATGTTAGGAGAAACTCAGATACTGTGTTCAGCTTCAAAGTTCTTGTCCAGGTGATACCATTCATTTGTTTGCTGCTTCCCATTCTTACTAGAAGTGTTTTGAGTTACACATGAATCAAACTCTACTATTCTAAAGAATAGAGTCACACATGTAGTGAAAATAGATCACTTAGGAATACCCTTTCAAAAGGACAATCAGTTGATTAATAAACTTTTGGGAGAATTCCAAGGACAAGTCTGTATGTGTTTATGAGGATTCAAGTGGATACAATACTAGATACAATACTAGATCTAGCTATTAACTATATATTAACTCTATTTCAACTCAATTTTTTGCCATTTGTCACCAGGCCAACGCCAGCTTCTTTGATTAATATCTTAAATCTGCATTTAGCAACTTGGATAACTGGCATTCTGTTGACCTCTGGGTTGGGCTTGCCCTAAAAAGTTAACTGGACTCAATGGGCAAAAACACAAATTCAAATTGGAAGCCTCTTTAGAATGGACAAGTTTTCATCTGGGTTTAGCAAGTCTGCATCTCTATTTCCTGCTACATGAACTGTCAGTGAATCCTTAAACAGCTTCTACTGGTCATGACAATTTCACTTTGCATTTCTGTTTGTTCAGCCTGATATGAAGTCTGTGACATTTTTGGAAGAATGTATTGATCTTTCCCTGTCTGTTTACAGGGTCTGATAACAATATGCTTTTACTTCCAACATTTTGGACCATCTTTCTGATACTTTTCCCTAGCTAGAATGAAATTGAATAAAGCCCGTTGTCTCCCTTTTCACCTGACACTCCACTTTTTGTTGTGTCCTCTGGGACTTATATGGATCATAGGTTATAGAGCCTGAAAATGATTTTTCTATTAAACTCTTAGTTGCTTCTTCGAAAGTTTCTTATACATCTCAGTTTTAGTTGAATTCATTTTAATCATCAAAGAAGCTTAGTAGGAAAATAAATTTAACTCTAATAAAGAGAAGGGTTATGTTTCATTGCAAAATTGAAAGCATGGCTATAAAACGGTAACATATGCAAAACAAAAATCTAAATTAAGTTAATGAGAGGGATCTGTCATAACTCTTCTGCTGCCTCTAGGTTGGCTGGAGGCTTCGGGAATTAGCCTCATTTTCTCTCAGAATCCTTAAAGAAGGTCCTTCTCCAAGCTCCTCTCGCTTTCTTTCCCGCAGCTGGGAAGCAACTTTTCTCCTTGCTTCTTTTTGTACTTTGAATTCAGCACTGTAAAAACAGCAAAACAGAAACTGTTCCTTATAAAGCATGTTTCAAAAGAGGTATAAAGTGCAAGCACATCTATACAAACTTAGTTTATGGCTTGTTTCAGCTTTTAAAAGAAATAGCAACTGATATATTAATGATCTATGGGACAGGATTCCTCCATCACACATAAACAAACTTAAGAAGCAAGACATTCACAGTTCTCCCAGCTATAGAACATTCTTTGTATAACATTTTATTAATGTAAGATGTCTCATCTTACCTGCCTCTCAGCAATTTTTCTGCACCTATTATGTATAAAGAAAAGTTATTCTGTTCTTTCAAAGGGCATTGAATTTCCATTGTCTAGGAAACATGGAAATCTTCTAGATTGCATGTATACATGGAGATAAGTCTAGCTGAAGGTAAAGGGGAGGAAAAAACTACTTACATGTTGAAAGGAATTGAACTTTATCTTCAGACTTTTGCTTGCCTTAAAGATGTTTAACTTATATTTGAAGACCTCAAAGTGAGGTCTTAGTTGAGTATCAATACTTAATCTATTAATGGTTGATGTTTTTCCAGTAAGTTTACTATAACCAGAGTTGGCCTAGTAACAACTGTTGAATAAATTACTTTGCATAATAATTCTTTTTTTAGCAATTAATTTATTTGAATGAAGACTGACTTCCCCCCCCCCCCCCCCCCAGCAGACACTTTTGATACCTCTATTTTTCACATCTCAAATCTTTCAGCACAGGGTTTCATTATGAAAGAAGAAGCTTGAGGAACAGTTTGAATTGTGGTTACTTCTGCATAGATGTGCTTTTGAAATATATGATCCACAGAAGGTATTTTAATGAATCTATAAGAGGTGTATTTTCTAGAAACTTCTGACTTTGCATTTTTGGGATCACACACTCCCAACGTTGTGACTCTACAAAGGAAAGCTAATTTAAATCGTGATACATTTAAATTACAGAATTACTGGTAACTGTGAGATTTGGCGGTATTTTCTAGGCAGGAAATTTTCTAGTAAGTTATATATTGAAGTGTCTTGAAAAATTTTGATATGGTTTGCTACAGCTTATTTCTAATGAGAATATTATTCTAGGTTAATAACTTAAAAATTGTATTGATTATACTGATTGTAATTACGAATTACATTTTCCAGGTCATGCCTTGAAAGCTGCTGAGTATTATGAAACATTTTATCATCTAACGGTTGGTTCAACATGGAAGGATGTGACAGGCCGTACTTACAATTCACTGGCATCTGAGTATCTCTGGAGAATTTATACATTACTAGCAGACAAAATGCTAGAAAATAATGAACACCAACAGGCCATCAAAACATTAAAAAAAGCTTTAAAAATGGCAAAAAATGGTAGGTGGAAAATAACACTTTCCCACTGCTTTATTTAACATGCATGTTATGATTTTTCCCAAAAGTATAAATTGTCAAGTGTTTGACGGGGTGATTATTTCCTATGAAATGCAAAGACCAGTGCTATCAATACATTTCCATATCTTACTAAAGCAGAAAAGCCTTCTTGCAGACAGCAAAGAACCTTTAGGTTCCTGAAAGCTTAGTGTCCAAAAAAACACCAAACAAACCCACCTTCTGGGAATAATAGTGTACAACAGTGAAGTCATAATAAGGAAATAAAGTCACTGACAAAAGCTCAGCCCACTGATTTTCTGATTCGGAAGTCACTCTTGGTTTGGCAAATTTTGAGTGCTGATTGCTGCTGGGACACTACCTTTTCACTCTACATATTTATTCAGTACTTGAAAAAAAGCAGTTTTCTATCATAAGAAAACAAAATTACTTCCATATATCTTAATACTTGGAAGCCTAAAGAAAAAATTACAGAATTGCAGAATAGCTGAGATAGGGAGATACCCTCGGAGATCACCAGAATTAGCTAAAGCAGGCTGCCATAGACTACGTCCTGTGAAGTTTTTAATACGTCCACAGGTGGAGATTTCATAACTGCTCTGGAAAATACTTTCCACTGTTCAAACACCCTCGCAATAAAGAAGTTGCGTCTTTTTTGAGCTCAGATGGAATTTCCAGGTTTGTCCATTGCTTCTTGTCCCGTCACTGAGCACCACTAAGAGCCTGGTTCCATCTTATTTACTACTGCCTAAGAGGTACTGATGAGATCCCCCTCTGAGCCTTCTCTTTTGTGGCCTCAACTGTCCCAGCTCCCTCAGCCTCTCCTCCAAGGACAGTTGCTCCAGTCCCTTCATCATCTTTGCAGCCGTTTGCTGGATTTGCTGCACAACGTCCCTCTCTCTCTTGTGTTGGGAGCCCAGCATGGGACATAGCACTCTTGGGGTGACCTCATCTATGCTGAGCAGAGGCAAAGGATCACCTCCCCTTGATCTGCTTGCAACACTCTGCCTGATGGATGATCCTATTTGTTGCTTTTGCTTTGCTGTCTCGGCTTCTATATGAGGATGTTATGGGAGATACTGACAGAAGCCTGGCTAAAATTGAGAGAAACAAAATCCACTGCTTTTCCTTCATCCACCAAGACAATCATCTTATTGTAGAAGACTGTCAGGTTGGTGAAGAACAAATTGCCTGTATTAAATCTGTGCTGACCACCCCTGATTGCCTTCTTGTTCTAAATAAGGTCTGTATGAAGCTCTGTCTACGTATGGATAGGTTTAAAACTGGGGGAAAATAGAATAGCATTTGAATGTTATATATAATGTGAGAAGTTGATCGGCTAGAAATTGCTTTGGAGCATTTCTTACACATGAGAGGGAACAGAAAAGAGAGGGGAAATCTTACAAGTTGACTTTATGGAAATACTTATAATTTTCCAGATTTTTTTAGAAATCTTAATAGTCATTGTTTCTTATAAGATGCTGTTAAATGTCCGCTTCTACAGGCTTACTTTTCCTAGATGGTTATCCAAGATGATTATTAGAGTGCTTCTCAGAAGATAGAAGGTTTCAAGTGATCATGTTTTTCCAATCACACCAGTTCAAGAACCTTTCATGGTATTCCTTAAGGGGCATATTTTGCATATGAATTGCCCATAAAATTAATATATAATATTACTTCAATATTTAGCACCAGATACATTAGTTTTTTTAATTTAATAATATGTGCAGAATATACTTGCCATTGTCCTTTTAAATATAAAGGTTTAAAAGCTTCTTTCAGATGAGTTGCCTAGTCCCCATTCCAGAACCATAACCTCTACCTACAAAGCCCATAGTTAATTTAGTCAAACCCATACTGACTCTGGGTACTATTTGTAATATCTATTTCTGTCCTTCTGGACCATCATCTGTTTTTAGGTATTTTATGAATTGGAATTACATATCATCCACTTCAGACTCTCAGACTGTTCTTAAGTGAGGAAGGAAGTGTTTTATATCCCTAGAAAATTTTCATTTATTATCCCGCTGGTCATCTGTATTTTTTTTGCCTCATTAAGCCTTTTAAGGGTTATTGAGCACTGGAAAATACCATCAGGGTTTTGATTTGCAGACTTTTCATAATTTTTGTAATGTATTAAGTAGAGCACTGCTATGGCCTCAGCAGTTATATCATTCAAAAAGTTCCAGAACTAGATGTAGGCTTCTATGTGTTTGAACATAAAGAAATTATTAGTAGGTAATGTAAACAGATAATCTCTCCTTTCATTGCAGCTGTATTTATGCACTTTACGAAACATCTTAATATGTACTTATGCTTCCGCTTGATTTTTCCACTCTTTATTTCATTTGACAAGATGGATTTAGAAAAATAGAAAGACTGAGTTTTTGTTACTTTTTTTTTTTTTTAATGGATACTCATGTTCTGGAGGGAAATTTTTGAATACAGTAAGCAGTTATATAATTAATTTATGTAAATTTCAGTACTGAATGGATGATTTTCTATTGAGGGAGAAATATAAAAAGACCAGCAAGCAGTGTTTGTTAGATCAGTATTACTGAAATAAAATCTGGCATGGAAAAGTGTGATGCACTTCGATTAGCAACTGCCTGTGCAGAATTTTCTATGACTTCTTCTTGCAAGTGTAAGTTATCCTTCCTTTTTTTTCTTTTTGGCTATTCCACCCTACAGTATCTTGCAAAATGACCATGAGAATAACAAATATGAATGTTATCTACTGGGAGTTCTGTCTTGGTATTTCATGAAGTTTCACATCAGCAAAGTGTACGGGTCAACATATGTTGTGTTTATATTTTTGATTATATATCGATAGCTACTCTAATTTTGTATATTCATATATAGAGAGAGGCTAGTGTGATTTTCTAACGTGAAGACACTGTTATTAAGCAACTCATGACAGAGACCATTACAGCATGTTACTTACTGCGTTACTTACTGGAAGATATTTTCTTTGACTTTGCTGAATTTTCTTGTTGAACTCCGCTTAAATCCATTGCATCTATTTTTAAGTGTCAGTATACATTTTTGGAAATAAATAATTGGCAACAGTAAGGAGAAGGGAATAGTTAATGTAGTATTTAAACATCTGCATGTTATTTTAGAACCTGCAAGAACTGTCTGTACTAATGTAATTTGTACAGATTATGCTGGTAAAGTGTAACTTTAATCCTTTCTTTAGTAGGTGAAATGAAGATCCAAGGAGAAGCTACATATTGCCTGAGTTTAGCGTATTATTTTGCAGGAGAAAACCAGACAGCATTATCAGTAAGTTTATTTTAAATTTGTTTTAGCTTTCCCAATGCCTTTCTCTGACTCCTTGGCATCTTAGGCATTTTGGAGAGTGGAAAAGACTTGGAAAGACTTGGCCCACAGACCTTTTATAACAGTATCTAGATCTGTAAACAGGGATCCATGTGGCTTAAGCAGTTAAGGTTCAAATAAATTCCAGAACTGATGGAGTCCAGGTTTCCATGCATGGATCTGTAGAAATAATATAAATTTATAATTCAGGTTATATGTGACTAGCTTTCCTTTTCCTCTATTCATACGTATATAAAACAGCTACTCTTTAGTTGGGGTTTTGGTATAAAACACCAGTTTTGCAAGCTAGTTTGATGCAGCATATTTGTGAGCAACAAATATGTCAATTCACATGTTCAGCTTTTCAGAACATCAGGAATTTAGAAGAAACATGAATCGCTTTTGGTATGAAAAGCTGTAATGCAAAAAAGATGCAGTCCCTTCTGTTGATACTTCAATTCAAGCTCCTCATGTTTCCCTTGAGTATCCCATGCATAATAATCCTAACAGAATGAGAATTCTACATGTAGAATTCCAGTCTCAAAGGAGGGTTCCTCTAGTTCATTGTAGGTCAGTATGAGGGGAAAGATAAGCAGCAACTTGACTTTGTCTGTACCAGTCATAAGAGAATTCACAGTCCTCCATTAAAAATATTGTGTGGAAAATTAATTTATTTGAATATTTTTTCCATTATTATTGCAATTAATCAGCTGGATAATTGTTATTTCTGTTTCTTCCTGTAACTGCAGAATGACTTGGTATTGTATTAATGAACACATTCTATAGAGTTCATTCTTTGAGGTTATTTTTTTCTGGTGGTTATGTTTTTCAGAAAAAGGCTGATAGAAGTCACAGAGTGAATTCAGCATGAGTTTCAGTATTGCTTGCTTGGCCTCTGCAGTATAGGAAAGGTTCTAGATTTCTGTCTTGAAATATCTTCCTACTTGCTTTTAACAGTTTGTGATATGATCATTTCTAAGAGTTATTGATTATATATAATTCCTCAATGCTGATATGCCTATCTTCCATATAAATCAACTGAATGCTGGAAAGTGGGAGCCTGTTCTTACATCAGTTGTAGTTAAAGTGTGTAGCTGAATGTGAAAATATTTCAAAATTTTAAAAGCTACATATAATTTTATAAAATTATATTTAATTGTTGCAGCAGCATTGAGAAGAAGATTATTTGATCTCTTCCAAGAATACGGTACAAGAGATTAGTCTAGAATTTTTTGTACTGAACTTTATCTTCATTGTTTTTTGACTGACAAGTGTGCCAGCATTCTTACCTGATCAACTTATCTGTTAAGTTTCTGAGAGTTGCAATAAACTGTGTGAGTGGTAACGAGCAGCAAGATAACAAATGTGCTAAATAAAGAAGCCTGAGAGCATATCTGAACTCTCCATCACAGGAGAAATTAATTAATGAACAAGACTGCACAGTCTCCGTGATATGCAAAGGATCAAACCACCCTTGAAAGTGCCAGAAATATTACATGTCCTGGCATTATCTCCTCAGGATCCATTTTGCTTATATTTTCCCTTCCCTGCATTGCTCCCCCTTTGCTCCTGCCAAAAAATTACAGCAGTCATTTGGAAGATCAATTTCTCTTTGTCATATGCAGATTTATTTTTTTTTTTAAGAAAGATTCTGAAAACTTGAGTTTTGTAATGTACTACAATCAATTTAAAATATATACATGATAGGTTGTGCCTATTGGGTTTGGTCTTACAAAAACACCTGAGAGTTAAGGAAAGCAATGTGAAAAAGAGGCAAAAAAGACTCTGTAGTACAAAATATAAATGATACTTTATGTTAAGAGTATAAAATGTTATTTTAACAGTAATGAAAATACCAATACATTTCAGTGTAAATAATATTATATATTATTGTATTATGTTATAATGGCATTTCCTAATATGGAAAACCTATGAAGTACTTTCTTCCAGAAAAAATAGTGTGTGTTAGGGGGCTTAGAAGAAGGGGTACAATTTTAGTTCCTTTTGTCCTTCACAGTGATCAATACAGACAGCAATAAAATATCAGTGGTTGACAGTGCTGTTGAGCACAAGTTGTCTTCACTGTCCAATTGGAAATCATTGCCTAAAATTTACCCTTCTGTTCTCAGTTTAATGGTCTCTGTATCCAAGGGGAGCTCAGATGCTTACAGAGATGAAATCATTGCATCCTATTCCCAGAGGACTACTGGTTATCATTACACATAACATGCAGACAATACTGCTAGGAGCCAGTTTGCCTCATGGTAATATGTAGTTCATCACCAGCTTCTGTAGCATGCTAAAGAGGTCTTGCCACACAGTTTGGGACTATTCGGGTGTAGATTCAGGGGTCTCAGCAGTTATTTTCCTGTTTTACATCAGTTTTCATCTTCTTTATCCTTTTCTGCTGTGGTCCACCTCAGGCAGTCTCCTTCTAGGGGAATCTGAAAGGAGCAGCTGTTAAGATACCATTTCCTCCAATTGTTGCCACTGGTTCCTTTTGCTGTTTAGCGTGCTTCTCCCTCCCCCCAACATGCACACACAGTAGCACGCATATAAACTTGTTTCTCTTTCATTTGTGTCTTCTAACAGGGCGGAGAAGCATATGTTCAAAATATTCATTATCTGATGCAGTAATTAAAGGTTGAAATGATTAAGCTGCAGCCTATTATATGAAAAATACACAGTCACTTTGTATCGAATGGGCTAGTTTTGTTGGAGAAAGTGTTTTATTTGCCAGGCACTTGGTGTTTAATCTTACGTAATTTGATTTGGTGTGTAATCTGTATAAATTGCTTTAATTGTGTTTGATATATATGATTGATTTCAGTGGACCTACTCAGATGTAAACACATAAGTGTTTGCAAGTTTAAAAACCTGGGAACTAATTATGTTCAGTAGCAGTGTGGTATGTTCATAATATTTTTCATATCATCTGGTTTATAATCAAGCCTAATGGCTATTCCACAAAATATGACACAAAACATGAGTAGTTCACATTATATAGATTTTATCTTAAACATTATAGATTTTGTCAGGGAGAGTTCTCCATCTAGACTAATTTTTAAATAAGTTACTATTTGCTAATTTTTCTTTACACTTCTGTAACAAGCTAAATATTAACTGAAACACTTCTGTGTCATTAGAAATTTTGCATGAGGTATTGCAATCTAAGGCTTGATGTGGGAAATTTTTTTTTAAACTGGGCTTTCAATAATGCTTCAAATAGTTGGACATCATGGATTATTTCCTCTTTTAATTAGAGTTGCATCCCAAATCATCAGGAGAATTCCAGTCCTCATCCCTTGTCTAAGCATTAGGCTTTTTCTAAGTATTCTTATATTTTAGATATTGAATCCTGTGTTTCAGATATGTTACACTTTTAAATAATAGAGGCAGTGCTCATGAGTACTGAGACTCATGCCAAAAATAAATGTGGTAATTTATGACATAGCATTACTTGCATGAATTGTCAGAATTACGATATACAAGCCACAGGCATAAAATTATCAAGAAAATTTATGAACTTACAAAGACATCTTCACATTTGAAATGACCCTATTAAAGTAATCAGAGGTGATTTATGACCATAAAATTAATTTCTGCAAAAGCCTATGTCAAAACAAGTGAAAATTTTTTCTCAACTCATGCAGCTAGAGAGAATACAAGTAGATGTGTCTGGGATGTGGATACCCTGAAATGAGTATCACAGTAGATTTTATCTAATTATATCTATTATATCTAATTATATAGATTACACCTATATGTACGCATGAATTTAGTGAATCAAGGAGGATCTTAACCAGTAAAGGAATTCCAAATGGTGGACTGAATGTCATCCTCTTTTCTCCCAAACTTTGTGAAAGGTAGTTCCTTTGAGATATGCTTACTTATCCCAGTGCTTTGCTAAAAGGCTGAACATTTCTGTCAATGGTGACTGGGTAGACACTGAGTTTATGTTTAATCTTGCATTACTGTTACTACAAAAAGAAGCACTTAAGTGAACACTTGCAAAACACATGAAAGGTAGTATGCAATGGAAATTATTTCAAACTTCTTTCTTTTAAATCAACCAGATTGTCTTTTATTCATCTGTAAGTGATATTTAGCAACTACTAATGAAATGTAACATTCTCAGCTTAGCAAATGCATCACCTGCTCAAAAAAAAAACAACACCAAAACCCAACATTTTAGCATACCAGTTTAAGAAGAGGTCTTGTCATTCTTTATCTTAGAATGATTTAATCTTAGAATGATTTGGGTCAGAAGGGACCTTACAGATCATCTAGTTCCAAACCCTCTGCCATGGGCAGGGACACCTTCCACTACACCAGGTTGCTCAATGCCCCATCCAACCTGGCCATGAACACTTCCAGGGATGGGGCATCTGAACTTCTCTGGGCAACATGTGCCAGTGTCTCACCACCCTCACAATAATGAATTTCTTCCTTATACCTAATCTAAATCTACCATCTTTCAGTTTAAATCCATTTCCCCTTGTCTTTTCACTACATGCCCCTGGAAAAAGTCCCTCTCGGATTTCTTGTAGGCTGCCTTTAGACACTGGAAGGCTGCTATAAGGTGTCTTCAGAGCCTTCTCTTCTCCTGAACAACCCCAGCTCTCTCAGCCTGTCTCCATAGGAGAGGTGCTCCAGCCCCCTGATCATCTTCACAGCCTTCCTCTGGATATGCTTCAGCAGGTCCACATCCTTCTTACGTTGTAGGCCTCATTTCTGGACACAGTACTCCAGGCAGGGTCTCACAAGAGCAGACCAGAGGGGCAGGATAACTTCCTTCGACCTGCTGGTCACGCTCCTTTTGATGCAGCCCAGGATACGGTTGGTTTCTGGGCTGTGAACACACACTGCCAGCTCGTGTGCAGTTTCTCATCAACCAACACCCCCAGTTCCTTCTCCACAGCGCTGCTCTGAATCACTTCTCTACCCAACCTGTAGCTGTGCCT